AAGGTACGGAATTCGCGACTTTGCAATTCTGTTAGTTTTTTTTGTCTCGATCGAGATGTCCCCGCGAATTCGGCTGTTTAAGGTGAAGTGAAACACGTCGAGGAACTTGATCGACGTCGATAAAGAAGATTTTTCTAAATGCCTACGTTGTCGACGTTCGTTATTATATTAACAAAAGTTACAAAATTTGTTTGAAAAATCCAAATTTTGAATGTGTCAGGACAATTCTTAGATGATCAGGAGTGATGTGTCAAAGTTTTGGACAGTTTGGTCTAATACCCTTAAAAAAAAATGTGTTGTATTCGAATCTACTGATTTGAAGGGTGTTTCACTTCACCTTAATAGCGAGCTTTTAGTCAGGTTATTTCCGGGAACAATGGCCCGTTTTCTCGTCTTTATGTCCCGCTCTTGGAAGACAAATCGCGGACTTTTTCCGCCGGAGAGCCAACGGCCGACTTTATAATTGCGCCAAAAAGAGATGCGGCCATTTTTCGGGGACGTTTGGACAGAATTTGTAGAGTCCCTCTTCGAAGGTGAACAGCGTCGATGTTAACTAAAGCTTCGATGGGAACTCAACAGTATCTTAGGGTGCATTTCGAGTATCCTCACATCTAGTGTTCGGTCTTCTCTGAAGATCCTCTTCGAGTTCCTCCAAGTTCCCCCAAGTTCCTCTTAACAGGACCCCATGTACCATTTTCGCTCGTATGGGAGATGTTATCGCAAGCCGCGGCCAGCACGCACTCGACTTGATAAGCTGCGAAAGCTAAAGAATTCCATTCTGGAAATGGGCGAGCGCAACCGCCATTATTCTCCGCCTCGTCTAAATAATCCAGGCCCAATTTCAAAATAGCCGCGGTGTACCGTCACTAAATAACGACCGCTGACTCTCTAACGACACGCGGATTCGCGACACGCCTCGCCCCACGACCCGAATTTCCCCTTCGACTGAATCGTCCAGTAAAACCCAGATTTCACAAAGTTAATTTAACACCTAAAAAAAAAAAAAATCACCTTCCACAAATTTCTTTTGAGTTAAACACCACTATATCCAGGAAGCGACGAATTTTAAGATTTTCAATATCTGAAGCCAACTTTGAGACATTTCTCAGAGAAAATTATTTCCATCCGATATAAAATTGTCATCGTTTAAGATAATCCAGAGGATTTCTGGAGTGTCACTTCGATTTCTTGATATTTATTGTACGGAAACGACAGGTGGAGTATGCCATTTGGTACAATACCTAATATAATTCGACACAACTGTCCATATAAAAACGAACGTGGGCAACGTAGGCATTTAGGAAAATCTTTTTTATCGACGTCTATCAAGTTCCTCGACGTGTTTTACTTCACCTTAACGCCAATGATTTCCACGGTTAATTAATTTCCCAAGAGGTACCGAATTTTTCCGTTCGGTCCAGGAGAGGAACTCTTAAGCGAGGTCGCCTCGCAAGAAATCAGAGGGCAAGATTGGGATGGAAAATCGGCGTTCTCGTAAAAACCCTCCATTTTGGGGGCTCTCAGATAATATCGAGCCATTCGTGATCGAGTCGTGGGGGATGCAAAACGAAATGAAATTGGGCATTTATCACCGCAGGAAGGAAGTCGCGAGTGACCGCGACTCGTAATCCAGTCGAGGGGAATTGGGTCGGACGATCGGCCTCATAAAAATGCGGCACTCTGGATGTCCTTTGGATAATCTCGACGCGATCCAGCTAGACCCCTCCGGGATGGATCGATGTCGTAAAGGATCCGCGGATTACTTTGTTACGGCGGCGCCCGGCGTCTACAGGGGGAGTTATGGCAAGTTCCTCGTCGGAACTTGGGTAATTTCGCGTCTACCCCCGGCGTAGCCCGCGGAAAACAACCGGACGAACAACGCCGGCTAATGATCGATTCTCAACTGTCGAACTACCGGTCGCGCGGGGGTTGTTTTCGTGGTTTGGGGGAAAACAGGGCCGAGGGAGTCCCTACGAGCCATTTTGCGCCCCGCGGCGAGCTCTGACGTTAGTTATTTTCGAGATGGCAGGGATTCTCACACCGGGAGGACCCCTGGAATTATCGCCACTCTTGGGACGAGGGGTGATCACCACCCCCTGCGGCATTCCCCCTTAATCCGGCGATTAACGATTAATTTGTTGCATTTGGGGTTGGTCGCACATTTTCGGGATGGAGAGGCAGCACCAACTCGGGGGTCAACCCAGGATAAATGCTTCTAATCAGAGGTGTAGAACTTTCCTTGGATTTAGGGTCTCATTACGCTGGGGGTAAGATACTTCGATAAACTCATAAAAATATAATGCGAAAGGAGCTAGCGGTTGTGGTTTAAATTAAAACCACCTTAAACTCGTGTTTTCCGTTCTCACCGCTGAGATACTCAAACGAAAGCAAGTCGATAGACCATCCCGAGGTACCGTTGATACAACGACATCGAGACGGTCGACGTGACCAAGATTAACGAGGACAGTTTCCAATCTCTGTAAGTTATCGCGGGGGATTAACCTCGGGGAAGCGTTGCCGTAGTTCTTTGCCTCCCCTGTCTGCCGAATCACTTAGTGCCGACCTCGTCGGTGGACTTAGTGCCGAATTCATAGTTCTCCCTCAGGTTTTGAAGGGAGGATTATCCAGAGAGATTGATCGCTGGAACCAAATTACGGGGAGCCACCACCTCCTTTGAGAGTCCCTTAAATCTAGATGTCCGGGTGCGGGAGCTTCGGTCAACGAAGTTTGACATAGAGAAAACGGGGCTTCCGGGTGGAGAAATTCCAGGGTGATTACGATTAAGAAGGGGTTAAGGTGAAGTGAAACACCCTTCAAATCAGTCGATTCGAATACAACACTTTTTTTAAGGGTATTAGACCAAGCTGTCCGACACTTTGACATATCACTCCTGATCATCTAAGAATTGTCCTGACACATTCAAAATTTGGATTTTTCTCAAAAATTCTTTACCTCAGTCCAGACCAGAACGAAAATGGCGTCGAGCTCTCATATTTCGATCAATATACAATTATCGAAGGCTCTGATATGAGAATCAAAAGGGTCAGGACAATTTTACGACAATTTAGAACACTGGTAATCGATAAACTCGCATTTGAACGGGATAAAGGCAAAAAAAGTGTTGTATGCGCTTCTATGCCAAAACGATGGGAATACGAGGTCTCGGAGTGAAAATTTAATTGACCTGGAAATCACAGATGGCGCAGGGGGTCCCTCTGCAGTCAATTAGGGCCCCGGAAAGCATGAATCCAGAGGACTTCTGGAGTTTCACTTCGTTTTCTTTATAATTATTGTACGAAAACGACAGGTGGAGTATGCCATTTGGTACAATACCCAATATAATTCGATCCAGCTGTCGATATAAAAACGAACGTGGGCAACGTAGGCATTTAGAAAAATCTTCTTTATCGACGTCGATCAAGTTGCTCGATGTGTTTCACTTCACCTTAAGAGGGTCCTCCATTCAGGAGCGACTCCCTCGCGCCTGGTGATAATTTTTCGCCAAGGGAACGGTCCTGAAAATTCGCAACCTCGGTAACGAGACGGCTGGTTCTCGTAAAGGATTCCAGATCGCGAAATGCTTAGCTCTCTCGACAAGTACTGCAACCACTGGTGACGTATCGACGCGCGTGCGCGCCAATTAGGGTGACAATGGGTGCGTTTTTGGTAAACGCGTCCATTGTGCGCGGCAGCTGACAGTGGCACGCACCGCGTTGGACGAACGCACAATGAGCGACATGTCGCGAATAATGGTCGGACCCATAAGGTCCCCACAGCTGCCCCCTGCAAGGGTTCACGGTTCTCATCGACCTCCACCCGGGCCCTTGTGAATCGTCGCGTGCTGTGACGTCATGCACGCGCTTTAAAATGGCACGATTTGGTTCTGAATAATCTTTAGCACCTCGGTACTGGATATCTTATAGTACGTCCTCGGCGCTGAATTTTTTTCAGCATCTTGGTGCTTGATGTCTTTTAGCACATTCTTAGTGCGGGGTTATTTTAACCTCTTCACTTACAATATCGTGTGAGACGTGGTATATCAATCGGGCCAAACGTGAATAAAACGTATGAGAGACGTGTGAGACTTTGAACGTTCAGACGAACCGTGAAATGGCCCGATGTATGACCGACATTTTTGTTGTTTATGGCACGCGGTAATGGAATTTAAATCGTAAGGCAAGGGGTTAAATACCTCATTAGTGCTGGATACATTCTATTACGATTTCGGTGCCCGATATTCTTTAGCACCTTTTCAGTGGCGGATATTTTTCAGCACCTTCGGAAGGGAGTTTTCAGAGGTCCGAGTACCAGGGAGGAACGATGTCCATTTGTAGTCTCCCAAGAGACCCAGAAGAGCGCCACGTGCGTGGGCGCTTCCTCGGTCGGAAAATGCCGTCGAGATCTCTCCTCCACCCGGGTCCTTGACGATTTTTCCACGACAACTCCTCCGTGAAATTGACCTTCGAATCCCAGGAAGATTCTTCTCGGGGTTTCTCCTTCTCCCGGCTAATACGAACCCCCGGCATCCGTGTGGAACGCCTTCCCCGTCGATGCGTAAGTTGTTACCCTGAAGTGGTGGGTGTGGTGCCCCCCGAACGCCGGAGATTTCCTGGAAACGTGACGTCTTAAGCGGGTATAGAAGTGGCCGACATATCCTTGCGAAAAATGGAGGAAGTGCCTGCCTAGAATTTGGAACGATTGCAACGTTACAATTAGGTAGCCGAGCCCACCCAAAAATTGATAAACTCAAAACGAGATCCGTTCGAGCTTTTCATAACGGAGTTCGACCACTAAGTTGTCACCCTGAAGTTCCAGATATGGTACCACCGTACGAATTGGAATTTTTTTATTTTTCCCCGGAAATGCAACGTTTCGAGCGAGTTTCGAAATGCCCGATATCCTCGGGTCGATTACGACCTGTGTCCTCAAAATTTGTAAAATCGAAAAGAGACCTGGTCTGGCCTCTAATAACACGGTTCTCTTTTCACGGCGTGTTACAGAACACCTCGGGCTCGAAGTTTTTGCGAGCACGATTTTCGTCAAAGTCACCTCTCAACAGGCAAAGAACACTGTCACCGGTACCTTCTACCTCGTCTTCGGTCTCGTCGCCGTCGAGGCATCGGCTTCCTAATCCGGTAAGCCGACATTCTGTCCATCACGTTTCCTAATTTCAGACACCACACGATTCACTCGACAAACACTGAACACTGAAAATCGGAAGAACACACACGAGGGACGCTTTATGAAATTCCTATGCTTGCACCTAGGTATGTACTTAACAATTTTTTTTATACATATGTTTTTCATACATGTTTCAACGTCTACTTAAAATGACCGAGTTCGTGCGCGAGTCGTCGCGATGTCGGCTACATTCTAGGGTTTCGCTGAGATGCATCTTATACAGGGTTCCCAAATTTCCTGGGGGTCTTTCCAATCTTCCAGCATGAAGGTTCCGTCAGAAAACAGCAGTCCCTGCATACCGGATCCGAGTTGCTTTTCCGTTTCCTCGGAGCGCACGTCGGTAGCTCCGAAACGTCCGGTCCAGATATTAAAAATCTCTTCTGGGCGTCCTTTCCACGGGATCCCCTCCGCGACGTTTTCGTGGCTGCTCGTGACACGGGGAAACTTGATTTGCAAGGGATCGCACTCTGTTCCGAAATATCCTGGAAAGTTCCTTGACGTAACACTCGGATCGTTGTCCAGAAATTTCCTCAAGGAAGCTCTTCGTGTTCTAAATCAAGCAATCCGTAACTGAACGAGGAGATAAAGACCGCGTACAACGTGGAAGTCGATGAAACGTGGATTCTGGAAGAGATAGAGAAATCTCTAGGCGAGATTTCCTCGGAATTGCGGAATTGCGAGATCCGAAATCCTGGAACGTAATTTCTTGAGGACCGTTCCGCAGATCCAGAACGCGACGAGTGCCTGCTGGAGTCTGCAGGGTCGTTCATTAAGGATTCTGCTAATTCCGGAGATTTCGGGCGGTTCGTTCAGGAATTTTCAAGGGTTTTCATATAAGCGAGATTTTCATCACACGGGAAATTCCGAGCGCCGAAGCCCACCTTTGGCTCGCCGTTCGGTTTTAGTGTTCATCTGCAAATTGCAGGAGGAAGGGTCCCGTTGGCCCGGCGGGACGCTACCGAGAATAATCCATCGGGTAATGCGATCCCTGAAATCGGAGCCTCCCTTGCCAAAAGGGGATGAGAGAGCTCGCAATATGCACCAGCCGGCTCTTTGCCGATTTCGGGGCGAGCTCTGGGGCGTCCATTTGAGCGAATCTCCCTCCACGAAGAAAAAGAGGTTAACTTTGTTATTCCAGAGGACAAAAGTCGACCCGGTAACCCTGAGACGATAAGCGATAACGACCTCGGAGCATGGCCTCTTTCGTTCCACTTTTCTCGGAGGAAGCTCGCCCTAGTCGATCTCGAGGCCACCAAAGATGGCGACGGGCGATACGGCGTTTTAGGTGAAATCCTCCCGCAACGGCCGCAGGAATCTAGACACAAGCCCTGCTTATATATCCGTTATGAACTATCGAGAAGATTTCCCACTAAAGAGATTACACGTGGGTCCAGTCGAAGAATCGTTCGCCAAAGTCAACTCGTCGATGGCTTAACCCATAAACGTATACTTAAAGTGATATGAAAGTGGCATAAAGAGGTTTCGTTCGTGAAACTTTTTTCCGAACTGTGTGCACCGAATCGTTTAAAACTCTACAACGCGAATACGGTGGCTATAAGAAAGGTCTCAACACCCATGAAATTTCAATTAAAAAAAAATTTCTTTATAGATATTTTCAAGATTTTATCATAAAAAATGGAATTTCATGAGTGTCAAGATCTTCCATATAGCCTTTATATTTACGTGCTGAAGTTTGAAACGATTCGGTGCATCCAGTTCGGAGAAAAGTTTCATGAACGACTGAACCTTCTGTTGCCGCTCTCGTGTCACCTTAAATGTTAAGTATTTAAATGCCAGAAAAAATGTGCCGAGTAAAAAGTTTGAACGGGATTTTTTAATCTCTTGAATGGTAGGCACTATGGATCTATGAAAGAAAAAAAAAATACTGGGAATCGAAATGCTGCCGGTGTTCATAAATTCACGATGGCGACTGTGCGCGTAGCCTGGCAAGATGGACGCTGCAGTCCCTCGTCTAAAATCTCACTTTATGCTCTATCCGTCTCTTCATAGATCCATGGCCACTCTCAGGGACGCCATTGTGGTCGGGGGTCGAGGGTGTCCTGGGAACGGGAGTCCCGAGTTACCAATTCCGTGGAAGGACAAAGGAGCGGCTTCGGGGCGCGACAAGGAGACATCGGTCAGACGGGTCGTCTGCGTGTGACAGGCCGTAGCTACTTACGCCCGGCTGCTCGTTCATTCGCTCGATTAATTATACAATTAATTAACGCCGCCCCGCCTCTCACCTCGAGGACCTTAGCGCGTTTGCCGAAGGAGCCGAGCTCGAGAACCCCGCCGGATATCTCCAAGCAGCGACGATACCCTATTGGCTAATTAATTATCAGACGCGAGAAGAAACGATTTTTGACGGCGCTTAGCAACGAGGCGTCGCGACGCCGATCCCGACTCGCTTGGCTATGCGCCCCGCGATGAGCATGAAATTGCGCGAACCCCCAGGGACGTCCATTGGCCGAGCGGCGACGCCCTCGGGTGATCTCGGCTAAGTTCGTTACTCTCCGCCGCTGATCGACCGGTCACGACCGGCTTACTCGAAAGCTGCGGGCAGCCGCGCCGCAGTCGGCGTTGGGAGTGAATGGTAAGTAGTACAGCCGGTCTTCGATCCGACGGTTTAGCGCCCGGATCGCCCTTTTCTCCTCGGATTGAGAATAATTACTCGGTAAGACTCATTTACAGATATTTCCAGTAACGAAGGTAATACTCCGTTTAATATATTGTAATGCATTGTAATATATTAAATGAGACCGTTAAGAACAATCAGAGTTCATCTTTTGGTAAATGCCTCAGCTGTACCTTCCAATATCACAAAGACCTCTCGTATCGGGTTCATAACCTCGAAACTCGAGACAGGGTGCCCAGGGTACCGATATCTCATTAGCAGCGGTGCGATCGCGCGAACGACCCGGCTTCGTTACGGGGAAGGAGCGGGACTTCACAGGCGTCTAGGGATGAATTTCTCCGCGGTTTAATTTTCGGCAGAAGCACGTCGGGCCATACCCGCCATGCTCGACGTCTTGACGCGGCACGATACGACGCAGGCAGCCTCATTGGCCGGATGTATCGCGTTCGTGGAAATCCCTGTAATATACGCGTTGCGCTCGGTCGGTAAACTCGGCGGGCGCGTCGGTAAGTCAGAGCAGCCGGGCGTGGAAATTGAGGGGTGCGCGCGAACACCGGAGCTATTTGCCCTGGCACGCAGGGGATGTGTTCGGGTTATGTGGGATGTATTAACGCGATGTCACGATACATTTACTTCTGTTGGGCTAGGTTCGGCGTTCTCGCTAGCGAGAGCGAGAGCTACGACTAGCGGAAAGATTGACTTACCGTGATGGGGTGCTTTCGCCGGCGCGCATCGCGACGCATCGTGATTTCCCCGATAAATTACTCAGGGCCACGTAAATCGTTCGATCGTTGATTCAAGGAGAAATTCGGTGTAAAGTGAGAGAAATCGCGTCTTCCGCGGCTAGGCTTTGGACGAGCGGCGTGAAGGTGGATAGCGATAAATCGCCGCGATAAATCTGCGCAAGCCGAGCGTATGGATTTAATCGACGTGGGGGCGTTATGTAATTCGATTTAAGCGCGGAAGGGTGATTAGAAATCGCTACGGTTTATCGCGCGGGGAGAATCGTTTATTGCACCAAGATGTCCATTTGAGGAAGGGAGATGCTAGAGCAGCTTTTGTGCATCGAGGTTCGTCCTAAATAGACGTAGACATGGTGTAGCATGAAATGTCCCTTGTTTCTTTCTCATCGACGCGCCCGCTTCGGTTTGCAATGAATTGGCCGCACCCTGCGTCGTTTCCGCCCTCGACTATTACTTTTTAATGGCTAGTTTTGCTAGAAAACTAACCTAACGGACGCGCCGCAACGTTTGAGCGCAATTTCCGGCGGGCGAATGGCCTTTTTCGGCGAGTGCGGCAAACGGTATCGCCGGCGAGGAAATGGCCAGCGATTATACAGTACTCGAAAATACCGCCCAAAGCCGATTCCGTGCCGGGCTATAAGAAATAATGGATATGTTACGTAATGGGCACGTTGCTCGTGAATCATTCTAATAAAACGAAAACCCGGGAAAAATGGGGACGGTTTAACGAGGGCGGAAGCGCGCGTCCAATTTTCTGTTTGCTCGTCAAACTGGCGGCCTTCGCGATCCAAGATGGTGCCTCGAAGGGCTATCACATGTATTCAATTTTCGCTCCGTCTTTATCGCCTTTTAGTCAGCAACAAACCTGGTTCTCACTCCGGTATCCTGGAGGTGCAACCTGAAGTGCCGGGTAATCCTATCCACTTCTTCTTCTTCCTCTTTTTCTTCATCGAGAGGTGACCGTCCCGACCGCATTCTCGGTCTTCTCTTTCAGAGTTCAAACAAAATGGCCGCGCCGGTGTCGCGATCGCGACCCGTGCCTTCGATACGACACTCGATATATCGCTTCCCGATCTCGATGGCCACGATGTCTACGATTATGCGACAACTTCGGGGACTGGATCGTCATCTTTGTGTATGTGCCCACTTAATCGTAACGGCGGGGGTCGTCGCGACGGAAGATTTCGCCCGGCGAGCGGAAAAGTTTCCAGCTTAGCACGGTACTTCGGCCACGGTTTGGCCGACCGACGAATCGAACTTTATCCCCGCTTAGCGCCGAAATCGGCGAGTTCTCGTCGCGCCGCCATGGGACGCCATGGGACGCCATGGGAGCCAACTCGGCCGAACTTCCAAGGGTCGTCGTCGCCCTCCACCCCCGCAGCTCTTTCGCGCGAAAGCGTCTTTACTGGCTCGCCGAAGCTTCCGCTAAAATAAACATGAGAAAAATCCTTGCCGACTGTACCGCTGTTTTGAATAGCGTATACATTAGCATGATAAATTTACACGCGGCGGTCGCTAGATTCGCGGTCTCTGGAGAGGGAATTTCTCGGATTTTCGGAACTCCACGCGAAGCTGT